TCTCTCCAAGGTCTTGAAATAATGCTTTGCCAAGCCTGCGTAATGTTCTTCTATATAAATTCGGGCAATGTCTTCCAAGTTGTTGTACATTTTCTTGTTCTTCTTTATCTTCTTTTTCTATTTATACATATGTACCTCATCTTCACTTCATTTTTTTCCCTCTAAGGCAATCACCAATATCAAGGTCAGACAGGACTCGGATTAGAGAAGCGATTGGCAAATTTTTTAGGTCTTGGCCAGATTGGTGGAGGTGTCTAGGCGTACGAACTTCAGTGGATGGCTGCGTCTCATGTAAGATAGATACTTCTGATCAATGGTAGATTGGGGTCGAACCTCCTTATGGTTGCAAAACCTCAGCTATTGCTGTTGGTGGGGATTCTGGCAGGCCATTTTACAATTAGGATTCACGCGAGAAGGTTAAGAATCTTGCCTGTTCCCGTCCGTGTTAGATGTCAAGGGAATGCTGAGGTGGATTCGTCTCATCACTTTCTATTGGACTATCAAGGCTAAGATGAAAACATTTGATTGAAATCATCCGCATTCGTAGTTTCGTAATTGGGTCTCGGCAATTCACATGCTGGATCCTAAGCTAAGTTGGAAAATAAATATTGAAGAGAGAGTAAAGAAAGCGAACATTGCCTACTACTCCTGTAAGCGGTTTTATGGGGGAAGACATGGGGTCTCTATTCAAAAGTGGATACATCATCTGTACAACAATGACTCCAAAATGGAACGCGGAGTTGGGCAGTTGGGGCATTTACTGTGACTCCCTGGGAGTAAAAAGATCATTTCATCTTCCCGATTTTGCAAGTGTTTTCCAGGCAGAAGTATACGCTATAGCCGAAGGCTGCCGTCTCTTAGAACATAGTGGTTTACGTCACGGCGAGCTCGTAGCCATTTTCTCAGATAGTCAAGCGGCCATTAAGGCCTTGGTGTCTTTTACAACAAGATCGAAACTAATCAATAAGTGTATGAAGCTTTCAATTCAGTAAGTAGTCAACTCGATCTAGATTTAGTTTGGGCCCCTGGTCATCGCAGAATTCCCGGAAACGAGGCTGCAGACGAGTTATCCAGAGAGCGTTCCACATTGGTGTGGGTCGAGGACCGGATCTCGCCACCAATTGGAACCTTATATAGAGACATATTTCTTCACAATCTCCAGAAATCGGATCAAAAGTGGCGCACGGCGGCAGGTTGCCGATTATCCAAACTCATGTGGCCCGTGCACAAACCTAAGAGAACACACAACTTACTAAGTAAACCCAGATCTGATGTTGCAAGGCTTGTAGCGACTCTTAATGGGGCATTTGCCGGTTGGTACCCGCGCGATAAGGCTAGGAATAAATCTCCACAACAAAACTCATTCGTACAATCCACATACGAAAATATTCGAATCAGAAATGTTAATCAAATTACTTAGCCTTAAATTTTCAAAATTAGCTTCACATTTATCACAGCGGTTGCGCACCTTGCCACTTCGAACGAAACTTTGCATGTTTTGCATGTAACAAATTAATCAGCTTGGATAAGACAACTACAAAGCCACATTCTGCAGGTGTATTGCTGCTCCATTTCATGTCTGCCATCACATGGCCAGCACTTTTCAGTCGCCGAGGCGCCTGCAGACAATGAAGCGTGACTTCCGATGTTCGCGTGCAGAACAAACGAATCGCGGTGATGAACGAGGCGCTAAAAATTTATATGCCCGCCACGATTTCACACAAAATAAATTTTAACATAAATTTAAAAGTAAACTACTCTGCCCAGGCAAGCTGCCTAGTGAGTGTCACAAACACGTGAGCCTCAGTCAGTCAGACAAAAAGCATGTGGAGCGCTGTGAAGCGCTGTGAAGCAAACGGGGACCACAGAATAAGTACGAAAAAAGCCTGGAACAGAAAAGACAACAAATTGAAAATTTTTGCATATTGGCATACAAATTGTATAACTGTATTTCCGTTTCCCGTACCACACAAACACAACAACAATACATTCTAGCCACAAGGCGAACAAGAGTCGTTGTGCGCGACATTTACTGGCAACAACAGGAAATGGCCAACTGGCAGCGGCAGCGGCAGCGGGTAACCAACCAGCAGCGAGGCGCTGATGCGTAGAGCCGCTTGCAGGCAACAGCCGCAGCGGACAACAACAACAACAGCAGAAACAACAGCAGCAACAACAAATATAGCACAGCAAATTGCCGGCATGGCAGCCACAACATTTACGTTTGTCCGCAAAGTGATTGATGTTGCAAATATTCTTTGCACAGTTGAAAGTTCATTTATTTCAAAAAGGTCCAAAAATAAAGGAAAAATACGGAAAACAATGAAAATGAATTTGGTTAACAAATTGGGAGAAAGTGAAAAATACTAGTAGCAAATTTTAGTTTGGCTATAGGCGCAAAAAAGCTGGAACTGTTCACAAGCTAATAGTGAATATCGCACCTTAAGCTAAAATGAAATGGAACATGAATATTTTGTTTTGTGACAAAAAATTTGTGTGGCCTTGAGAACGAAACGAACGTGTGTGTGTGTGTGTGTGTTTGAATTGATGGTTTGCTGTGTGTGGATTGCCTATTTATTTTGCACTCCACATTAAGTTTAACCCACTTATTTATTACAGGCGATAAATTGACAATTTAAATTTTTTGATAAGTTTTTTTGCATTTGAGGCCAATTTTTATGCACAACTGCTAGTAGCAAAATGACAATAATTTAAATTACTATAACTTAGCGCTGGTATATCGGAGGTGAGCGCATCCCTTGAGCAAATTTCTTGCATGGGCGAAATTACCCAAATGTACCAGGAAAAAAATTTTCTGCCAGCATTTTGTTCAAACTCCACCAAGTTGTTGATATGGTTACTGGTAACCAATGTGTAAAATAATTTTTTTCTTCCGCGGTATTTTGTCGAGTTATACGAGTTTAAATAGCGCTTTTTCGCAGTCACAAATTTTCTTAAAATTCTAATCTCATTTCACAATTATGATAGATAATCAAAAATTGCTGACCTATTAGAACTTTTTCCGTGCTTTTTGGTGGAAATACAATTTTTTGCTAATTTTTTTTTTGAAAAAAATTTACAATAAATTTTTTTTTGCATTTTTTAAACATTGTATATTTTTTTTTCGCAAACAGCTTATTTCGATAGCTGTTTTCTAAACTTTCCAACGATATATAATTTGTATTATATTGTGGTCGGGTCCGCCTTGAATTTTTTTCGACAATAACACAAGTTTACGGAAATGAAAATATTGTCCGACTAGCGACATTTTTCCACGCATTTTAATTTAAAATTTTGCGCTGAGTCCGTATACGAAATTAAAATGTAAGAGAGTAAAACAGTTTTTGAGATAAACCCGAATTTCGGGTTTTGAGATCTATAAAAAGTGCACTCAATTAATTAAATTTTTTTTTTACATATAGTTGGTTGATCCTAAATTTCTTATCTAGTTAGATAATGTTGTTAAAGCAGTTGATAGCAAATTTGTAATGAATAGCTGTCCGTTAGTCTTGCTTAAACTCGAAAACGGCTCGACCGATTTGAATCAGTTTTTCTTCGGTTTGTTCGTTATAAGACCGGGATGGTTCAATACTAAAAAAAAACATACAGTTGCCACCTGTTTGAAAATTTCAGTGTAAGTAAACTACATAATTGGATAAGGCAGATATTACAATATAGGCATCAAAAGAAGGAGGTTTAGAAGGCTTACAGTTGAAAACATTTTTGAGGAGGGTTGCCATCTGTTTCAAAAATTTAATTTAATTTAATTAGTAAACTAATTTAAATATTGTAATATGGATATCAAACTAAAGAGGTTTAAGAAAGCGTGCTATCGAAAATATTCTTGAGCAGGGCTGGCACCTGTTTGAAAAATTTAATACAACTAAGTTTACAAGATAAATTAAATATTGCGAAATGGGTATCAAGAGCTTTAAGAAAGCTTGAGGAAAGTTGCCAACTGTTTCGAAAATTTAGTTCAATTAAATTTATAAGATAAACTAAGTATGTTTTGCAGTATAGGCATCACACGAAAAGTGTTTGAAAAAATTTTGATTTAGAAATATTTTCAGTAGTTCACCTATCTGAAGAGTAAAAACTAAAAGCCAGTACTAACCAAGGCTTTTAAGGCGCACATCAATGTGGAATAATGTAACTCCGACAAGTAAGTTTTTCTTGATGGCAAACAAGGTATTATCATGGTTGGATATGATATGGCCTAATCGAACAATGCATGATGCACTTAACCATGAAATACAAGGAGAACAATCCGAAGTATTAGCCGAAGCAGTTCGTACAAATGTTTCACAATAAATATTTGCGTACGACTCTTTGATAGAAGCTGTGGACACTGGAAATGGTGAAATTTACTTTCTGGATGCTCCCGGAGGGACTGGTAAAACATTCTTAATTTTACTGCTTCTGGCGAGGGTACAGTGAAATTTCCCTAGTATTAACTTCATCTGGAATAGCAGTGTCTTTGTTAGAAGGTGGACGAACTGCACATTCTGCCTTTAAATTGCCACTGAACAGGCAAATCAACGAGACACCAGCTTGCAACATCACCAAAAACAGTGCAATCGCGTAGATTCAGCAGGTATGCAAATTGATGGTTTTGGACAAATGTACAATGGCCCAAAAGAGGTCAATGTAGGCACTGAACAGAACTTTGAAAGATCTTCGTAACAACCAAAACATTTCTGTTGGAGCCATGATTCTGTTATCCACCGATTTTCAATCAGACACATCCAGTTATTACATGACCAACTGCGGTTAACCAACTAAATGCGTTCTTAAAATGATCCAATTTGTTTCGTCATGTGGAGACGCTCCCATAGACGACTAACATACCCAACAAGATCAAAGTGCGGAAATGTTTTCGAAACAATTGTTGGACATTGGTCAAGGTAAAATCGCAGTTGACACCTCGACCGGATTAGTCAGATAACCCACAGATTTCTCAGTGGTTTTTCGGACGTCGGGCCACAATTCAAATATCATAAATGACTGAACCGAACGAGCAATATTTCCACACAAAAAAAAGATATAAAAAATCTCATTGTGATATCCAAAACTTCATTCCGGGACAGGTGTTTTCCTATAAATCAATCGACGCAGTTATCAAGCAGGATGAAGTAGTCAACTATCCAACTGAATTTCTGAATTCGCTGGAATTTCCTAAACTACCACCTCACAATTTGAAATTAAAAGTAGGCTCACTGATCATCATGTTGCGTAACATTAATCAACCTCGACTATCCAATGAAACGGGACTGGCTGTGAGAAAGGTATTGAATAACGTCATCGAGGCAACGATCATCAAGAGTAAAGCCAAAGGGGAGGGTATTTTAATTCCGCGTATCCCGATGATTTCAACGGCCTTGCCATTCGATTTTATGCGGCTGCAATTCCCCGTGCGTTTACTCTTCACTACTAACTAACACCTACACCTTCATCGCTTCTTCCAGCTTCAAATAAATCGCAGAACTTGCTTTAATATCAGAAATCTCTGCTTTAGCATCTGCGATTTGCGCTGATTCTTGATTAATCGTATGCAATAAATCAATTTCTACATTTGACTATGCAAACCGAAAGCTATTGTAATTCAACTGTCTTTCTGAATTTGCATACCCGAAAAATATGTAGAAGCGCATGCATATCTATTGAAAGCCTAATAAATGGGTTTGAAACACACAAATCCCAAATTCGAGCAAGCAAACAAGGTTGCAGAATTTGATTTTGTTTCTGCAGCAGCAATTTCATTGATGAATTCTCATTTACAATTTATCACTATTTGGAAAGACGAAAGTTTTGATTTGAATATCTCGCGGATGGATAGGGTAAATTCAAGGCAATAAAAATTGAATTACTTAAAAAATTATATAAATTTATTTAAGCCTAAAACGCGTATATCAAATTTGGTTCAAAGAAGATAAATTTCCGTGGAACTAATAGTTACGTGCGCACATAAATAATCAGATCTCTTGTACACACACATCTACAGAATATGTATGCGTATCAATTTAAGTAAACTTTACATCTTACAAACATTTAATAAAATATGTATATTTCTAGAAAATATAACCAATGCTTGCGGAAATTAGCATTTACCGCACATTTTACTGTTCCCTTTAAACTGTTTTAAATCTAAACGATCTACGAATAAATCAGAGCACATTTTTACGTGCTGCGAAAAGCCATACAAAGGCGGGGCAGAAGCACAAAAAGGAGATCCGGGAACCCCCTCCCTTGGTTAAAGATCCCACATTCCACCAAGCCTTTGAAGGTCCTGCTGCTCAACATACATAGAACTTACCGGAAACAGAATTGCTCCTATATGCTTTTACTTCGGGAGGAATCTGTTTTGTGAAAATTTTTGTTGGGTTGACGGAAATCCGATTTCTACCATACCAATGAGCGGCAATCGTTATTCGTATTGGTTACGGTTTCCTGCAAAGAACCTTGAGAGATGAGAAATCTATTCCATGACCGCCAATAAGAGTACAACACATTCTCTGAGTGCAATAAGTAAGACTCCATTTGGACCGGGCGATTTGAAGGTATCAAAAAATACAAAAGCATATCTTATGGTATCATCATTCGCGACAGCTCTAAAAAATCCCTGCCTTTCCTCTTGAGAGGGTGTAGTATGTAACTATCAGCTAATCAGTGGGTCTTAATTCCTGACTCCGTAGGGTAACCAGCAGGATTCTCGAGTGGACTCAACTTTGCGGTTTGCATCTCTGTTAGAACTTTTACCAGCCTAGCCGTTTGAACCAAGCCTTCAATACCACAGCAGTATAGCTTTAAGGAATCACTTTGCGCAGAGCGAATTATTTAGAAATTTGACTAAATATCCTTTCATGCAGCGATAACGTTTCCAGTGTATATCGACTGCTGAGTGGAAGATCGACCTATCTGGGCAGCCAGTTCTAAAACGCCCTATCTCAAAAAACTGTTCAAAAACGTCCAATTTCAGAATTTGGTTTACGAACGCCCTACTTCAGAATTCGTTTCAAAAACGCCCTATCTCAGCTGCCGATTCAAAAACGTCCTATATCAGCACATTTTGAATATATTTTGTGAGATACGGCATTTTTGAATCGAACTCTGAAATAGGGTATTCTTCAAACAAATTCTGAGATAGAGTGTTTTTCAATAAAATTCTGAAATAGGGCGTTCTTGAAAAGTTTTTTGAGATAGAGCGTTTGCAAACTGGCTGCCGAGATAGGTCGATCTTCCACTCAGCAGTCGATATCTTCTATACATATAATAAAATTGTAACAGGCCGATGTCTGAACATTAAGATTATTAAAGAAAAATTAATATTGGGGGACTTTATTAAATAGAGTCAAGAATGATAGAATACAAGATTGCGCCAATCGAGCTGAGAGTAACCGGGCGTGACGTCAACAAATACCAGAGTGAGAAAGCAAGACGAACTCGACAAGAAAAAGAGGAAGCAGCGAACAATAGGCAGTATTGCCATGTTTTGAATTTGAAAAAGCACAAAATTTGTATTGGTGTATTTAATGGACTTTATATGCATACATAATTTTATTGTAAGGATGCTGATTCAAATTAATAAAAATTAATGTTTCTTGCACGACGCTCGATTTCTTTTGGAATGATTGAAGGTGCTGCCACATATTTTCCTGTCGCTTATGATTGTCACTGTGCAATGATTTTGCTTAAATTCTTGTAAAGTTCCTTACCATACTTACGATTGCTATATAAATTTTGCTTCAACTTTTTTAACATTTTCAAATTGGGTGTCGTCAAACTAAAAACAAAAGCACCAAAAACTCACCAAGCACCAAAGTCAAAAATTTTCTCGTTTTGAATACCCACTAAATTTGGTGCGAAAAGTACCAAGTTGGAAACATTGGATGTAAACAAAAGTATTGTGTGACGTCAGCGAAAGCGTGGATGCAGTCAAATCGACGAAGAGAGGGTTAGCGGTACGCGAATGGCGCCACCTTCATTTTCTGCATCGTGAAATAGGGCAATAACAGCCAAATCAACAATTTAAGAATTTTGTCTGTATTTTCGTTTGTCTGTCGGTCTGTATGTTTGTACGCGCATCACTGGAAAACTAATGCATGAAATTGAATACTGTTTTCACCGATGTATTGCTAAAGGTCTAGCTTAAAATATAGGATGAAAAAAAGTTAGAGAGTTGCCACCGGTTCCCAAATTGTAGTTAAGTAAATTAATAAGATAAAGTAAATATTGCAATATGGCTGTCAAAATAAAGGGATTTAAGATGGCTTAGAGCCAAAAATATTTTTGTGGAAGTTGCCACATGTTTGAAAATTTTAATTTAATTTAATTAATAAGATAAATTAAATACTGCAGTATGGGTATCATATTTTCGAGGATTGCCACCTGTTTAAAAAATTGAATTTAATTAAATTGAAGCTACGGACGTTCATTTAGTCAATAAGACGCCCTTACTGGCCATCCGGCATAAAGGCACAATGAAAAATCAAAAAAAAAATAATTGTTTACTACTGTTAAGCGGCTGATGCCTCTAATCCTTGTCTAATTTATGTCGAATCCTTACCAATCACTGTAGTAATCCTTACTGCTTACTTTACACGGATTAGACAAGGTTTAAAGATACAGTAGTAAGAGATTTTATTTTTTGTATTTTGAATTGTGTCGTTATTACAGAGTACCATCGCTATTCAGAATCACTGTAAATCCAAGAAATCCGACAACCAAAAAATTGCACAACCCATTAAAATTAGATGCCTTCACTAGCAAAATTAAGGGGATTAATTAGTAGAATACGGTACATAATGGAAACAATTCCAAATCCAATATAACCGCTACCACAAATTGTACTTATTTTTTTCAATCACTCAAATGAATAAGTAAAACACAGCGCGTTTTAGAGAAAAAATCCTTATCCAAAATGGCGTGGCGTCCTAAACGCTAATGCAGGCAATACATTAAAATTTCCATTTAGGTATCTTACTAAAACAAAAGAATTTGCCAACTTAGTTTAGTTTAGTATTATTATGCAAATGAAAAAAATGTCCAATAAAAATTATATAACCGATATCTCTAATCGACCAAACGGGCTGTCATTAATGAAATCGTACCTTTAACATTGTAAAATCCATCATCAAGTATTCTAGTAATTGCATTCCATTGAACTTAGATAAACAGTTATTCAAATTAAAGCTGACAAATACCCTTAATCCTAAATTATTTTTACGAAAGTCAGCACAAAGCTATTTTTGCCGACAATATTTCATAGCGCTCCACAAATATACACACATAACACAGCATCTTTCTAAATCATCCACTAGCAAGTATGTATGTATATACATATGTATGTATGTATGTATGTACTTACATAGTACCATTTCAGAATTTTGGTCATCATTTGTTGTAGCAATTAAAAGCAATCGCAGTTGCCAACACTTACAAAAGGCATGCCATTTGTGTTTGGCATTTGTGTTGGTAATGGCGACCAATCAATGTTCTGCAGCAAGAGTGCTACTGCTGTTGTTGCTGCCACCACCACTTTTGGCTACTCCGCTTAATGACCAAGGCTCGAATGATAGCATTAATAAATGTAGATAGTTACCGTAGTGCTGAAGTCATAAAAGCGGCAGTAAATAGCACTGGCCAGCAACAGTCAGTAGCATGAAGCTTCTATTTTATGTACATACTACTATGTGTGCAGGCATGTGCTGCGATGCGCCTAAAAAGACCAACCAGTACAACATCAGTTTGTCTACCATGCATATGTACATGCCTACATACATACATTATGCTTAAAGCAAACCCAACAAGCAATTCAGTAAACGTTTTTAAAAATAACTTAAATTAAGTTTGCTATAAGCTAAGCTTATTAAAAGTTTTTTCAAATAAACCTTTAATAAGTTTTGAGAGCGAATGTTTATAAATAACTTAAACTTATAAATGAAATGTAAATGCCAACGACATGAAGTAGTAAATATAAAATTTTTTCAATCGTAAGTGACGTGTTTACGTTTTTTAAAATATATTATTAAAAGAAAAAATTAAATAAAACCGATGTAGTAAAAAAAGTCCAATCCAGGACCCGCTGCGCTAATCGGTGGAGCATTCGAGTCTTCAAATGATGAGTTCCCCTTATCCTTTCTTAGTTTAACATTCAATTAAAAATGTATTAAATTTTTTTCAGAAAAGTTCATCAATGAGAATGGCGGCGATGAAGCGGAATATATAGCTGCATCGATGTCGCTTTTCCAATTTGCCAATAACCGCAAGTAATTGAAAGCACGCAACAAGATGTAATAATTAACTTTTTTATGCTTAATTTGTATGTGTTATTGTGAATTTGTATGCTAAAATGTCTATTCCCTATTTATATTTTCGCGACTGTAGATGAGTCCGCCGAAAATTCGCATTTCGTTTAGTTTCTAGATGTTAAGCAATCTAT